TTAACAACAATCCATCTATTCCACACATCCATTTATTCAATCAGAAACACCACTCATCAACACTTGAACAAGCAGTTCGCAATCGCTTCATTCAAAGAGTATTCATTAGCGTGACTTTGCGCGCAATAGGACGCTCAGTTTTCTAAAAATCTTTGATTCTTCGTACTGCTGATTGCTACAGAAGTATGGATACTTCCTTCCACAGTCGTGATTCTCCCAAGTTCCAGTCAGCGTGTTTAAAGCAACACACTGTGCGAGAACTTTTCGTGTTGGAAACCCTTAAAAACTGTTCAAAGTTACAATTATTCTGTAAATTGCAAAAACATTATTGTAAGTGAGTAAATTCGAAAGTTGATTTGAATTCTATCGATAATTGAAAACAGATTATTATTGACAGATTGGAAGGATATTCATGAAGAATAATTAGTAGGAATAAGCGTTTCCATTTACATTTCCAGTTGTTCCTTTCCCAATTACGATATCCTAATTTCCTTCCGTTTAACCACTCCCATTTACCACTTCCATCCACATCAACCAAACCAATCCAGAAGTATACTTCGCTAATTGCAGCTCCACGTCCTAAGATCAACACTATTATTACAACTATGAATAATACTGAACGTGTGATTGACAACATTACGAATCGTGACTACATTCCTGCAGTAATTATTCATTTCCNTATGAACAAAATGCATTTGACAATTCTTTTGTTGACAAGAAAGTTATTAGTTCTTAGCTAACAAGAAAATGAGACCTTCCAGTTCGTCATTCTCTAAGGGGTCCGAAATCTCGGCTAAGTTGTAGTTCGGCATCGCCATGCATGCTTTGACTGCTTGGCCGTAACTCTTTCTCTCCGATACCATCATGAAACATTTAGTCTCGTTTATTGGTGATGGAAAACCACCGGGACAGCGCTCCACATTCGCCATCACACCCATTATCAGCACGCTCGCCACCAATACACGAAGCATCTTCGCTTATCGCTACCAATCCTTAAATGTTTGGAACACCATTCAAAACTTATTCCACACACAAACCCTGACGATTCAAATCTGACTGATGATACCACAGGTCAAATTTCACCATCGTAGAAAACCGATTAGCACATTCAACGACCCGTATGCCGAAGGTATACAACCAAAACACCGATTCAACGAAACTTCTTAAACCACTTGAAATCAGAATCACCCCACCTTCCAGTCCCCACTCACGCAGACGATATTTATTGCTCGAAACACGCGTCTTATATAGTATTCGACTATGCAAATTCTCACAAATTATCGAGGAATTACCACAAACACAGTCAAATTGAATAATGAGTTCAAATTATTATTATTCAAAACAATTATTAACATAATTCATAGCATTTCAATCAAATTCACTTTTCCCGATGATTTTACTTACTTCCGGCACGATTCATGCTCAGGCTCAACAAGTCGTTCACGTACAAACTACACCGATGTACAATAAAATTCGATTGTCTCACTACAGTGTAATAGACAAGTTTGAATCAATAACAAATTTATAAGGATGAATTTATAAGAATGTAACTGACTGTGAGGATGAATTCTGAACGCGCGATTCTAATGGTGACCCTTATACTGTCAATTACAAGTTAGTGTTCACATTGACCAATTCATGTACAGTGTATTGAAACAAGCGCTGCCGAGCGAGTGAGATAAATTCAGAATATCATCCATATCACTGAATGTAAGCAAAATCGTCCGACAACGAATGAAATAATCTGAAAGTAGGGAATCTGTGGAATCCGATGGTGAGAAGAAATGGCCATGTTAGTGGGAAAACCTGAGAAGAGTGATAGTTTGAAGATGGTGATTATGGTATTGCAGACATTGTGTAAGTATTGATCAATGAAAATACAATGTATTGGAATGAGCTACCCATCTAGGCGGGAAGGTTCCCAGTAATCCTCAATATAACTCGAGCAAAATCAAATCACCCAACAACATTTCCCGAAACTACAAAATCTGGGCAATTCGACGGAATGAAGAAATGAACATATAGCTAATTTTTTTACAGAATTTCAACTATCGTAGTGGCGCTGCAGCACCACGAGAGTGGCCATATTCAAACAATCGATACCCTCAAGTTTGTTCAGTAACATATCAATATCTCTACACCACTCGATTCCAAAGAACCTCCAGATTCACAGTATTCTGTATTACACTCAGCAATTCTGGTTAACAGAGGAGATATAGCTATTTTCTTGGACCTCTCTTAATCAGCGCCGACACTCTCATTCATTGTACAAAGAATCACTATAGATCACTACAGACATTAATATAGCATTATAGATTTTGCCATCTTCAAGCTACCGGTACCCTCAAGTTTGCCCAGTAACATATGAACTTCCTTATGCCATTGGATTCCTTAGATCCTGTAGATTCAGAATATGAGGTTCACTTTGATGTATCAAATACATCGCAGTTCTTACGATAAATTTAATAATAATGCACTCAAATATATCATGTTCAGTACACATTCAGCCCCAGATCTACTGCGATCGGTAGGCTGCGATCAACTATCTTATTGAGTGTTGCATAAAACATTCGAATTGAACATTAACAACAATCCATTTATTGCACATATCCATTTATTATCACAAACACTCATCAACAATTGAACAAGCAATTCACAATCGCTTCATTCAAAGAGTATTCATCAGCGTGACTTTGCGCGCAATAGGACGCTCAATTTTCTAAGAATCGATGATTTTCCGTACTGCTGATTGCTACAAAAGTATGGATACTTCATTCGACAGTCGTGATTCTCCCAACCTCCAGTCAGCGTGTTCAAAGCACCACATACTGTGAAAAAACCTCGTCTTGGAAACCCTTAAAAACTGTTCAAGTTTACAATTATTCTGTAAATTACAAAAACATTATTGTAAGTGAGTAAATTCGAAAGTTGATTTGAATTCCATCGATCATTGAAAAGAAGTTATTATTGACGGATTGGAACGATATTCGTAGGAACAAATGAACGCATCATATGCTTACTCTGTGCCCAATTACTAAATGCTAACTTCTCTCCGTTTAACCACTCCCAAGTGCCATTGTTATCAACCAAACCAATCCAGAGGTATTCTTCGTCAATTGCGGCTCCTTGTACTAAGATCAACACTATTATTACAACTATGAATTATACTGAATGTGTGATTAATAACATTACGACATCGTGACTACATTCCTGCAGAAACTATTCATTTGCCGTGCAATGTGCCTCTGTGAAGCATTATACAGTGCATAACAGTTACCCTTGTACAGTGCAGCTATCGTGACGAAATAATATAAACCATTCTTGATAGCTTACTAACGATTAACAAATGGGATGGATTCGAGTTAGTTCTAGCAAATCCGAATTTGATGTTTTCGCTTCATTAGAACCATCAAAGTCACTTTTCCAACAGTTTCCATATTGACAAAAGGCATTTGACAATACTTTTGTTGACAAGAAAGTTCTTAGTTCTTAGCTGACAAGAAAATGATACATTGCAGTTCGTCATTCTCTAAGGGGTCCGAAATCTCGGCTAGGTTGTGGTTCGGCATCGCCATGCATGCTTGGACTGCTTTGCCGTAACTCGTTTTCTCCGACACCATCTTGAAACATTTCGTCTCGTCTGACGGTGATGGGAAACCACCGGGACAGTGCTCCACACTCGCCATCGCACTCATTATAAGCACGCTCACTACCAATACATGAAGCATCTTCGTTTATCGCTACCAATCCTTAAATGTTT